TCCTGACTAACTCTAACTAACCCTGACTAACTCTAACTAACCCTGACTAACTCTAACTAACCCTGACTAACTCTAACTAACCCTGACTAATTCCAACATCCTGACTAATCCTGATTAACCCAGCTAATCCTTACTAATCCTGAATAATCCTGACTTACCTTAACTAATCCTGACTAACTTTAACTAATCCTAACTTCCTGTTTCTGAGTTTATCTGTGGATCAGCTCTGGTTGTTTTAACTGATTAAGGAACTAAGTTAGTTTGAGCGACTGGTTAAAGCTGGTGAACGGCTCCCTCTGCTGGTTGAACTCCTCCTCTGTCTTCCATCAGGGGCTTCCAAACGAGAGCTGGAGCATCAGCAGGATGAACCTTCACTATGAGCTGTGTGACACCTACCCCTCCATCCTGGTGCTGCCCAAGAACCTGACGGAGGAGAGCATCAGACAGGTGGCGGCGTTCAGAGCCAAGCGGCGCCTTCCGGTCAGTTAACTTCACAGTAGACCTGATCCCTCAGAGCGGTTCCAAACCAGCTCAGCTCCTCCCGTCTCCTCCTGGTTAATGACACTGAGGACGTGGACCTTCCTGCTGTCCCTCTGCAGGTCCTGTCCTGGATCCACCCAGAGTCTCAGGCAGCAATCGTTCGCTGCAGCCAGCCGTTAGTAGGACCTGTGGACCGCCGCTGTAAGGAGGACGAACGCTTCCTCCAGATCCTCATCGATGCTAACGCTCAGTCCCACAAGCTAACCATCTTTGATGCTCGGCAGATCAGCGTGGCTCTTTCTAACAAGGTACCGCTGAACTGCGCCCCCTAGTGGCCATTTATAGATGCTGTAGGTACCAGATCTGCTCAGGTCCTGCTAATATCAGTGACGTTACGATATATGATTGACTGAATGTCGCCACAATGATGTGGTTGCCCGGACAACAATAATAACATAATGCAGCGTCCGTGCGCCGAGTCGGGAGCATCTGTAGCGTTAGCATGTCCAATTACCGATAAATTTTTACCTGATTGATAACTCAACTGAAAAAATATGTCTATAGTGAACAAAGTGACCGTTAGACCACGTTATCACGGGGGCGCACTGGTTAGCGCTGTTGCTAGCTGTTCATTCAAAGCCATTAGCATCCAGGTGAAGCTGGTGGGAGGAGCTAAAGAAGGTTCACAGAGCACAAAGCTTCATTGTTATCAGTTCACTTCTAGAAATGACCTGATTTTCCTGGTTTATTTGTGATTATTCAGCTTCCTTCCTTTTTTCTCTCATTTTTGACCAAAACGACCTGAAGGCAAAAGAAGGAGGATTTGAGAGTGAAAGTTTCTATCCCAACATGGAGCTCATCTTCCTGGAGATCCCTAACATCCACGTGATCCGGGAGTCTCTGCGGAAGGTCCGGCATGTGATCTATCCCACCATCGATGAGGCCCGCTGGCTCTCTGCTGTGGACCAGACCCACTGGTTGGACCATCTACGGGTGGGTGTGTCTAACGGGGGTCTGGGATGGGTCTGAAGGCAGGTGCTAACACGTCTGTCCTGCTGCAGCTGCTGTTATCTGGAGCAGCAAAGATAGCCGATAAGGTGGAGTCTGGAAAAAGCTCGGTGGTGGTTCACTGCGGCGACGGCTGGGACCGGACCGCCCAGCTGACGGCGCTCTCCATGCTGATGCTGGACAGCTACTACCGCACTCTGAAGGGATTCCAGGTGAAGCTTCAGCTCCCAACTGTTGCTGCTGCTGTCGAACCAAAGCTAACCATGTTGCTCTGTTCAGGTTCTGCTGGAAAAGGAGTGGATCAGCTTTGGACACAAGTTTGCATCTGTAAGAGCAAAAACATACCTGCTATAGATCTATGCGCTGTAGATCTTCACTACCATGTCTTCCTGCAGCGCGTTGGACACGGTGAAGAGAGCCATGCTGACTCGGAGCGGTCCCCTCTGTTCGTCCAGTTCATGGACTGTGTTTGGCAGATGAC